GTGGCAACAAACTCTGTGTTTATAGGGTCACATAATATTCTTCTAACTTTTTTCTTTTCATTATTAATCACATGTTCTTGTAATATCAGCATCACATTTAGAGATGGACATACAGATTCAAAATCTGGAGAGTGCTAGTCTATTAATCCAGCTATTAATAGCAGGCCTAGAATAGGAATGGTGACCTGACAGCAAAGCTCATGTTGTTTTCACTATGACCCCATTTCTTACTACTTCATATTTAAGATTACGAATGATATTTATAAAGACAGGGAGAAGTATAATAGGACTTTTATGGACCATGGTCTGGTGAAGTTCGGATGTTCTTATTATTTATATAAGATATAATACTAAAATTGGAGTTTGGGGCATTGTAAGCTTTCAAAGTGTTTATGGTTCTTACTTAGTTACATATCAGACAACAAAGAATGTTTTGTCCTGATGATTCCCAGTTAATATATCTAATGCAATAAAGCATTTTATCAGTAGGAAACTAAACAATGAAGCAGAATGAAGATAACTAAGAAATCTATGTCTGGCAGTGGTAATGTGTTGATGGAAGTTTCTGTCCCATCCAGTCCTGCAGCAGCCGTTTAGTCCCAAATAAACACACAGAGGCTTATATTAATTATAAACTGTTTGGGAGATGGCTCAGGCTTTTTATTGTCTATCTCTCCCTTAATTATTTACCTATTTCTATTAATCTCAAGGACCCTCAAGGACCATGCTTGCAAAAGAGCAAGATAATAGAGTAGTAGATGGCATTAGCCCTGGGAACATAATAGAACTCCTCACCTATTACTACTAGAATCAATGCCCTAAAACATTATTGGTCTTTTTGTCCAATTCATGGTTCAAATTCAAAGGAAAAATTATTCAGTGACCTAGCTTAGGGAGAGCCTGATTACATTCTTTCACTAGCTTAATGTCCATCAGAAGTGGAGACACTATTTTCCAGAAGACAATTGATCTATTTCTAAGAGATGTTAGGATTGGTGCAGAGTGAGGAGTCAAACAAAACAAAGAGTCACCAGGCTTCCTTCTTACCTGCAACAGTCCTTGTGCTGTCACTCCCTTTGCTGAGCTGAATCCTATGACAAAGAGCCTGTGTATAGTGGCAAGTTAGAAATAGAATTGGGCCAGGATTTAAACATGGATTGATATAACCAGCAAGATTTACTCTGGGGAGACATAATTCTTGCCAGTGGAATTTTGGGAGAGTTTTAAAAACAATAAACAAACGTTCTTCTTACTAGAAGTGATGGTGATTCTTAGTTATTTATATTTTTATTCTGAAGAGAAGCAGCAGTCTGATGTAAACATAGATTGCTGATAGAACATTTTGTTTCTATTGAATTCCTCTAGAGGTGTGAGTCAGATGTATAAGGAGAGCCCTGCTGTCCAGTTTCCTAAATATCTTGGGGGTACTGATGGACATTAGCTGTTGGTCTATGCTGTTAGATTTTCCAGAACTTATTAATTTGTAATAATGTCCGACTGCCTGTTTCCCACCCCTAAGGAAACCTGCAAAAGTGTTTGGGATACATGTGGGTAGAAGGCACAGCCTAGACATGAGATCATTATCATCCGTGACACATTGAGGTCATGTTTCTTCCACGTTTTCTAAGTTCCATTGAACCAGGGATTGTTAATGAAGGATTTCCATTGGATAATTTTGTTTTTTCTGTTTCATGTTTCAAGATGCCTGTCTGGATTGCATTAGCATTGCAACAATTTACCCAAGAGGGTTTAGTTTCTTAACTTAATTGGAAAGGGGCGTGAGGAGAGTGGCTGTCTTTGTGGGAAACAAGATTTCTTTTAACTCCACTATTACAAATGTGTGTGAAAGAAGTTCCAGAAGTCCACAAGTTCCTGGGTTTTTGTTTGTTTGTTTGTTTTGGTGATTGGGTTTCTCGTTTGTTTGCTTCTAAATGACTTTATTTTATGCTCTTCAAACTGTGGTCTGTATACATTGTCATAAACATATTTGTTAGCCAGATACCAAAGTCAGCAGTCTTTATTATTCATAATTACTGTCAGAAAAGCAAAATCAGTAAGTGACATAAACAATCAAAGTCTTGATGGAAGAGGGGGAAATTCAGTTGTTGAAAGGTAGTTTTCTTTCTGCCTTGTTTATCACCACCTCATTTAGCTCTTTAGAACTCTAACGCTAGTCTCTTTCTCTTACATTCTTTTTCTCTTTTCCTTTTATGATAATGATTTCAACATATGCCTGCTCCGGACAGCACAGCATTCTTTCATCAAATTGACTGAAAATGTCATTAATAAATAGAAAATTATTTATTTTCCCTGAATTTCAATGTACTTTTTGATGGCCAGTTCTGTTCTTCCTCCTTTGTAATTCTAGGTATCTGGTGTCAAAAGGGATGACTCTTCAAGCCCATTGGCACCTCTGTGTTCTGCATTTCACCTCAATGAACTCAGCATTGCAGAATAGTAAACCCTAACTCCGTGTGAACACTGCTATATGTTGATTGCCCTACCTACATTTTGATTGACCCTGTGGTGGTATGGCACTAGTAATTCAGGGTTTTTTTCATATCACCAAACTGGGTTATGTGAAAACATCATAACATCTCTGGGAGGTGACTGTTCACAGTTTTGTCCCATTTCTTCAATTGACTCCTCCATCTTTTTCTCATAGATTCCATGGACATCCAGATGTGAGATAGTTTGAGGAAATGCTTCATGTCCTCAGTAAGTCATTCCAGAATGAGCCTTCGTTAACTAGGAGTGTTGTCTTAGTTTCTTTGCCAGTTGTAAGAAAAAACTCTGACAAAACAACTTAAGGGAGAAAAGGATCATTTCAGCTCACAATTCCAGAATAGAGTCTATCCTAGTGGGAAGGGCAAAGGGACATGATCATGAAGAAGATGTTCTCATCATACCCATAGTCAAGAAAAAGATACAGTATGCTGCTCAGCTTCCTTTCTCTTCTCAAATCATTCAGGATCCCAGCTAGGGAAGGGAGCCACTCACAGTGGCCTGGCCTTCCAATCCCACTCAACACCATCAAGATAATCCCTACAGGTATTCCCACAGGCCATCAACTAGGTAATTCTAGATTATTTTAAATTGACAACACTAATGATCAAGATTGGTTATATGACAAATTAGCTATTGCTCAACCTCAAATGAGAAAATAATAGGTCTCATGGTTTGATGCACTCAGCAAAGATGTATGGGAATACCAGAGTGTATAGTGGACTTCTCTTTCAACACATAAAAATCAGGGGAAGATACTAAATCATTTTCATATGTCATCAAATACTTATATTTATAATATTTAAATATCTAAAAGGTCACACATATGCTGCATATAAAACTAAATGGATAATTATGACATAAAGAATTTTTAGTAAGGATGAGATTACAATTTGTCTTTTAAAAAATCTAATTACAGTCTATCAGTTATTTCTGAAAACATCAATGCAGTCTGTGGACTACACGAGATGGAAGCTTGTGAACCACAGAGTCCAGACTTCTCCTCCTGTAGAATGTGGGAAGAAGAAAGGCTGGACAGCATCAGCTTTACTTGCTGATATTTTCCTCTCCTCAATATTCTTAGAAGGCCTAGTAAATTTAGAAACAAGTCTAACTACCCAGGATAATAGAAAATAACTGAAATAGTCTGTCACCACACATAAAGTTCATAGACAGTTAGGAACTTTTCTATGGGTTAAATAGGGGGTGAGACAGAACAGAACAAATTTCTCCCGGGAGAGTGTGATTGCTACAACTATAGAAGCTTTAGGTTTTTCTTTTTTCTTGCCTTTCTTTTTTTTTGTTGTTTGTTTGTTTTATTGAGACAGGGTTTCTCTGTGTAGCTTTGGAGCCTATCCTGGCACTCACTCTGTAGACCAGGCTGGTTTCAAACTCACAGAGACACGCCTGCCTCTGATCTAGCACCTGCTTTAGGTTTTTCAAGTGAAGCGTGTGTGGGGGGGAATCAATAGGAGAATAATTGCCATTTATTGAAGTCCACAAGTGGCTAAAATTTCTCCCATAGAGGAGTTATGGGGGATGGTTTCCGGTTCAGACAAATCTAGACAATGGGATCACAATACTTTTCATTGTACAAAGCAGCCTTAGCCCATAGATGTGGGGAGCACATATACCTGGCACCCACTTCCTTATATTCCTGTAAGGTTGCTTGGCTTCCAGAATGCTGTTTGTAACCTGACATGGAGCCTCTGTCATGTATAGTGCACACATCTTGCCTAGAACAGCACTGATCTAAAAGAGGAAATAAGAGAACATTTGCACTGTATGGTCTCTTAGAGTCTCTCAGCTTCTCCATGTTTCAAACACCAGAGAATACTCCCAGTTACTTTTTCCTGTTTGCATATTCTAGAGAAAAGTGTAAGGTTCTAGATTTGAAAAATCTTGAAAACTTAGAAATATTCCTAAATAATTAAACTTCTCAAACATAGTTTTGTTCTACCTTTTTAAAAAATTATACAACTTAGAAAGGGGTTCCTGCCCTGAACCCCAAATATATCAAGGACAGCACCACATAAATGTCATTTAAATACCATTATAGACATTGTCACTTTTAAAAAGTGTCATATTTAATTGATTATGCATAAAAGCAGCCAAATACATTGTTTTTTCCAAACCATATTTCTGGATATGGTATATGAAAGTCCCCCAAAGGTACATGTTTTTCATGCTTTCTATGCTCTTTTAGTGACTGCATACATAAGCATAAAATACATAGAGCAAAATTGTGGAAATGCATGAAGGGTTAACCAATTCACATCTCCCCATTCCCCTACCCCATGCCATCATCAGTGCTTAAAGTTTCCAGACAAGTTTCCCTTTGCTTTATATCCTTGAACACTGAACCCTGACCTCATTAGGGAAGACAGGGAAGGACACCACAAACTTACTATGTCTCAATTACAGCTACAACATAAAGAAGATATATGACTGACTTTGATGCTTGACTGTCTTTTCACCCTTCAGAAGACACTTGCCTGAAGGAGTCTCGCAGCAAATGGGCTGTAGAAGGTTTGTGTTATCATGGTCTTCCAGCTTCGTTAGCATACATCTGATACCCAGTGGAAGATCCTGCAGGGCAGAAAAGTGCACATCATTCCTGTTGCCTTCACCTTCTCTTTTAGCATCTGAAAGTGTCTCTACCACCTCCATCTTGCCTCCTGTCTCCAATGGCTTTTAGGATTAAGAATGGTCTTTTAGGGCCTGTTAGATGATTTGGTAGGTAAAGGAAACTGCTACCAAGTTTGATGATCAAAAGGACCTACACAGTGGAAGGAAAGAACTGACTCCTAGCAGTTGTCTTCTGCTCTCCACCCATAAGCAATAGCATATGTACACATATAGATATACAAGCATACACCCACCCACCTCCCACACCCCCCACACACAAATAAAATCTTAGAAATGATTCTTGTAGACTAGACTGTCCTACACTGAGGTGTTTACAGCCAGCTCTGTTCCCCCTTGTAAACATGCAATAAAAAGAGCTTTTTTTTTTTTTCAGATTAAGGGGAAAAAAAAAAGAAATCATGAGAACAGAACTAGCCTCTGTGGGCATAATTCTGCCAAGTTACTTCCAGAAAGGTTTGCTACCTTGCTTCTGAAAGCCCATAGAAGTGAGATGTTCATGTGATGCAATTTTTCAATGCTTAGAATAAACACACACACACACACACACACACACACACACACACACACACACACATCTGTTCACAGTATCAAGAGTAGACATGATAGAGCTATGTCATTTTCTGTGTCACAGAAAACACATGATTCTCCTCCCTACCTTGACCATTTTATCCCTGCATTAAGCAAGCACTCTATACTGAACTGCATCCCAACTTAGCTGTGTGTTCTTTCTCCTCATCTAAAATGAAATTTTCAGTCTTAAAATATTGCCCTTCTCCCATATTTTTAAGAGGATTTATCCTTTTCAAGGTACATACATGTGGATCCATTTTTCCTACTTCTGTGCTTACTCTCAGATAACACTGCTCTTGGAAAGGAAGCCTTCTTGTCACCTACACCAGGAGGGTACTGATCTTTTTATTAACAGCTCTGGCTAAGTCTCTATTTCCTGAATAGCTTCAGCCCATCACAGAGCTGTTTTTCTTTGCATTTCACTAAGTAGCACAGAGTGGGAATACTGTTCTGTTACAAAGAAATTTAAATCATGACATTTGCATGAAAATGAAGGAACTTACAATATATAATATTAACCTAGATCACACAAACTCAGAATGGAAAAAAGTGCCTATTCTCTCTTATGTCAGATCCTACCTATAATATATATGTATTTATATGTAAACAGATCTGAGTATGTGTAAGCTACTTAGTAAGAAAGAAAAGAAGAGTAATATTAAGTGATGAAGAAGGATGGAATGCAGGCAAAAGGATCTGAGTCTCGCTGGGTGTTGGTGGCTCACGCCTTTAATCCCAGCATAGGCAGGCTGTTCTCTGTGAGTTTGAGACCAGCCTGGTCTACAAGAGCTAGTTCCAGGACAGCCTCCAAAGCCACAGAGAAACCCTGTCTAGAAAAACAAACAAACAAACAAACAAAAGCATCTGAGTCTCAGAAGAAGCTACAAAGATAATTGTTTTTCTAGTTTCCACTCTTTCCTATTCGTGTGTATATGTGTGTGCATATGTGGTGGGCAGGTGCAAAAATTTCATTGATACTAAAATGTAAAACTGTAAGCAAAGGACTGTGGCATCTGAATGGCCATTTTACCTGTATAGATGTTCAGTGGGTTGTGCAGTTTCAGATTGGTTCATGTTTGTTTAAGTTCTCTTAATCCCTGGGTTTTTTGTTTGTTTTGTTTGTTTTTGTGAGTTCCTTACGACAGTGTTGTTTAAAAGTGGCATCTAAGCAAACTCCATCTTACCCACCTGTTTAAACAATCCATAAATTGTATGTTTATTTCACCATTTATTTTTTTAAACAAAACTACAGCATATTTTAGCAAGGTCAAAAGATAAAGCTCAAAAGGGAAGTTGGAGGAGAGGTTGTAGACTTATGACTATGTTAAAATTGAGTTCTTTGAGGACCGAATTCCTAGTGTTAAGAGAAAAGAATACAAGAACAAAGGAGTTAAAGGCTTGCCAGTATCCTTAGAAAAGCTTAAAGCTATTGTTGTTTTATTTATTTTTACTCTTTTCTTTTTTGGGGGACACCACCCAGCTCCCAAATAATCACATAGAGACTTAGCCTTAGTTTTGAATACCTGCTCTTAGCTTGACTTGTTTCTAGCCAGCTTTTCTTAGCTAAATTATCCCTTCTGCCCTTTGCCTCTGGGCTTTAATCTTTCTCTAGTCTATATACTTTTCTTTACTTCTTTCTCCCTGGCTGTGTTGCTGGGTGGCTGGCTCTCTCCTCTCCTCCTTTTCTCACTCCTCCCTCTTCTCTTTTTTCCTTCTATGTATTATTTTTGCCTGGCAGCCAGGTAAATTCCTCTCCTGCCTAACTATTGACTGTTCATCCCTTTAGTAGACCTATCAGGGTGTTTAAGACTAGAAAAGTAACATAACTTCATGGAGTTAAACAAATGTAACATAAAAGAATGCAACACATCTTTGCATCAGTAGCAAATGTTCCACAGTATAAAAGCTTGTAACACATCTTTAACTCCACAACATAGAGCACCTTTAAATAAGTAGATTTCTGTTCTCCTCTGTCCCCAGCCTGCTCCAGGAAAAGCAGGGAGAGGACAATGCTTCCTCAGAGAGCCTGATGCTCATTCAAGTCTACATATCACTAGAATAAATAGCTAATAACTATTTATTATCGTAGGGCATCCAAGGCAACTCCTCAAGAGAACTAAGATATTCTCCCAGTTAGACAGCCTCTCATGTCTCATGCTGTGCAGCTCGAAGTATAATTTGTAAGCAAGATTAAATGTAGTACTCTATAACCTATAGAGTATTTGATTAAAATTTGATTTTAGTTGCTTTGAATAGATACAGATGAGAAAAATGACTTTATAGGTAACATCAGTAGATTCTAGAAAGCTCTTTGGCATTGGGGAAATTTTTACTCAATGCTTCTCTTCATGATAATCTAGATATTGACTATATTTCATTTGTTCATTTGTGGTTTTCTTGGAAAGGAATTCTGGAAGGCTGCAACAAATTTCACGGCTACCACAATAGTATGTCCAGCTTAAATACCCTAGGGTTATTGAACTTGTATTGCTTAAATATGACAGATTTTCTGCCATAAACTCCCTTCACTCTGGGGACTATTACTTTGTTTTGCTGCATAGTCATTATCAATTTCATGCAACCTTAGTTACTAACTCCTGCCATAGTTTCTTGAATGATTCATATCTGTTTTAGAAAATTCTTGCTTATGCCTATATCTTGACATGTTTTTCTTTTGTGTTCCTTCAGCAGTTATAAAGTTTCAATTCTTACATTAAGGTGTTTGAATCATTTTAAATTAAATTTTTACACAGTGAGAGATAGAGATCTAGTTTCCATCTTCTCAATAGACATAATTTGTTTCCCCAGAAACCTTTGTTGAACAGGATGTGTTTTCTCCAGTGTGTTTTTTTGACACATTCTTCAAAAATTTGATGGCTATATCTGTCCATGCTTATTTCTGGGTCCAATATTCTATTCTATGGTGTATTCTCTCTCTCTCTCTCTCTCTCTCTCTCTCTGTGTGTGTGTGTGTGTGTGTGTGTGTGTGTGTGTGTATGTGCATGTAACTGTGGTATTTTGTTATTATAGCTCTGGGGTATAGTATAAAGTTAAATATTATATTTCTATCACAGCTCATTTTGTTCAAGTTTGTTTTGGCTGTTCAGGGTCATTTTATTTTTATATAATTTTAGATGTATTTCTCTACTTCTGTTGGGAATGTTTTTGGAATCTTGATAGTGATTGCATTTAAATGATGGGTTGGTTTTAGTAATATGTTCACGTAACAATATTAATTCAGCTGATTAATGGACATAGAGATTTTTAGTGTTTCCCACAGGTCTATATTCTTTAGGTCTATATAGTTTTCATTGTATAGGTTTTCAACAATTTTGGTTAAGATTATGCCTACAAAAGTGTCATATATTATGAATGGAATTGTTTTCCTAACTCCTCAGTGAGTTTAGTATTGATATATGGAAAATGTACCATTTTTAATGTTGGTTTTGCATCTTTATACTTTGTTGAAATGTGTATCATATCTTAGAGTCTTTTGTTAAAGTACATATTTTATGATGATTGCTATAATATGGTACAAATGAACCTGGGAGGTACAAATATGCTATGCAGACAGAGCTTAGGTGAGAAGTTTTATTGGGGGAAGGGAAGGAATTAGGGGAAAGAAAGGGAGAGAAGGTAGAGACAAAGAGAGACAGAGAGACAGGCAAAGACCTGCCTGCCTTTTCAGAGGAACATTGGAAAAGAGAGAACTTGAGTGCGTGGAGCTTGTCTCTTAAGGGACCTTTTGTGACTGCATACAGAATGAGAGTACTGCTTGCCATGTGCACAGGGGTGAAGCACTCTACAGGTCCCCAAAGAGCAGAGCCAAGGTATGCCTGGATGCTAACAATGATATTATCTACGAACATGGATAATTTGAATTGTTTCTTTCCTATTTGTGTCCATTTTATTTACTTGATGTACTAAGATGCCAGAACCACATTGAATAAGATTGGTTTGAGTAGAAACTGTCATACTCTTTAGTATAATGTTGCTGCTCAGTTGTATATAGTCTTTACTTATAAGTTTACTCTATTTTTGTATTTAGCCTTAATACTGTGTTCATTATGGAAAGTGTTGATTTTATCAAAGGCTTTTTATGTTCCCATTGATATTATCATGTGCTATTGATATGGAAATATTGGGATGTGATGGGGAATGTACTTCTGTGCATGTTCATCTTATTGATTGTTGAATAAAGTACTGTTTGGCCAATGAGGCAGCAAGTTAGACAGGACTAGGAATCAAAGTGGATTCTGGGAAATGTAGTAAGAAGTGGCGATCCAGGCAGGAAGTGACATAGCAGGGAGACTCATATTTAAGGAAGGACAAGCAGGAAGTGGTCCCTTTTTTCCCCTCTGCTCTTCCTCCAGATTCTCTATGTGATCCACCAGCAAGGGAGGACACCAATTTAAGGTGTCCAATAAGATAAGTCTTTATATATATATATATATATATATATATATATATATATATATATGATAATTAAGACTGAGCTAGCAGATGAGAAATCCTAGTCATTGGCCAGGCAGCATTTGTACCTAATGTAAGTCTCTGTAATATTTTGTCCATCCACATGGTGGGCAGAACTTAGGCAGCAGGCAGAAACTGGCCACATGACAGTAGGGTTCGGGTGGCTTTTGGCGGAAAGATTTATCATAACAGGGATGTCTTAGAACATTGAATCCTTTCTAGGGGAGCTATATTATCCTGAAAACTTGATGGTACCAAATTATTGGGAGGTCTGTCTGTATGCTGTGAATATGTTTCTCATATTGGTTGATGAATAAAGCTGCTTTGGCCAATGGACAACAGGCAACAAGTATAGGCAGGGCTACCAGACTAGAAGTAGGCAAGGAAGACGAATGCAGAGAGTGAGAGGCCAGAGAGAAGCCATGTGGCTGCAGAGGGATACAAGAGGGCCAGACATCACTGGTAAGCCCAGACAAAGTGGAGATATACAGGTTAATAGAAATGGGTTAATAATTAAGAGAGAGCTAGCCAATAAGAAGCCTTAGCCATCAGCCAAACAATTTATAATTAATATAAGCCTCTGTGTAGACTTCCACTTAACAACTAAAGCTGTCCCAGGCCAATGAATTCTGATTTTCATCCTTTGAACTTTAAGAATGAAATTCTCACTCCACAGAGATGAGTTTTAGAGAAGTTTATTAAAGATTCATACATGGAAGCTTAAGTGGGGAGGGGGGAGGAAGACAAAGACACAGGTTGTTACCATAAATCTTTCCGCCAAAAGCCGCCCGAGCCCCACCGCCACGTGTGAGCTTTACACCAGCCGCCCGCCCCAGTTAGGCCCAAATGAATACACAGAAACTTGTATTAGGTTCAAAGCAGCTTGGCCAATGACTAGGATTCCTTGTCTGCTAGCTCAGTCTTAACTATCATAAATCTATATATGTTATAAGACTTATCTTACCGGACACCTTATTGGCGTCCCTCCTTGCTGGTGGATCACATCCTGCCGCTGGAGGAGGAAGGAGAAAAAGGGGCATACTTCCTGTTTCATTGCTTAGATATGAGTCTCCTTGACATGTCACTTCCTGCCTGGATCATCACTTCTCTACTACATTTCCCAGAATCCTCTTTGACTTCCAGTCCCATCTAACTTGCTGTCTCATTGGCCAAACAGTATTTTATTTAACAATCAATAAGATAAACACACAGTAGTACATTCCCCATCAACAGGGAAAGAGAGGAGAGAGAGAGAGAGAGAGAGAGAGAGAGAGAGAGAGAATAGAAAAAGAGAGAATGAAGGCTTTCTATATAGCAAGAGATGTCCAAGAAAATAGCATGCCATTGATCTGTTTTTCTAGGGCCCTTAAAGGACTTATTGTAGAAACTGGGGTGAGGTCTGTGGAGGTAGATGAGCCTGCTAGTTCAGCTTGCTCAATCACAGGTCTAGGTGTCTCCTCTTAGTTCCAGTGTCATGATCTTGTATACCCTTTAGACAAAGGCACTCATAAGGTAGAACTCTCTTCTGGCTCTTCCTTCCACCTGCCAGGGAATTCTCAGAACTGTGGCTTTAGGGTCCCTGCCCTCCCTGTACCAGATGATTCCTTCTACTGTCCACTCACAAGAACACTGAAATATTCTGGGAAGCATTGGGGAAATAATTCTTCCCTTTTCTGACATAGTCAAATCCTTTCTAATCCTTTGCAAAGAAAACAAGTGACCAATTGCAGTAAACCTGTCCTCTAACAGTGAACACCTGTTAATTAGAATCACTAATATGCTTCCTGTTAGAGGTATGCTTAGCAAAGAAAGAGACCTCCCTTTGCCTCCAACTCCAAGTACAGTGTCAGGATATAGCAAAGTTTACTCTTCATCAAGAGGGCACCTTTGGTTTTTATTCTCATTCAGGTGGTGGCTGTGTCCTTTCCCATTGGCTGGGGTCAGACCTAGCAATTTTATCCAATTAGTTATTCTGAAAATAGCTGGTACATAGGAAATGAAGGAGGCAGGGGAAAAGGGTCAATGTCCAGAAGAGAAAGGGGTCACTGCTCCAGGCCATCAAATTCCTGGAATAGAACAGAGGGCTTTTGTGTAAACTAAGGTTTTAATTGGTGGGAAAGATCAAAACATTTGCATAACAATTTTACAAGGTGGGGGAGACAAAAAGACTTTAGCCTCTTGTCCTAAACACATGTGTTATAGTATTTGATAGAAAAGATTCACATTTGAAATTGCTTTCATTACAGTATGGAAATACAAAGGTTGCTGGGACTGATTCACAAAGTGTGCTGTTGACATGCCTGCCACACCTTGTCCTACCTTCAAGTGTCTTCTGATGAAAAAGGCCTGGTTTCTTTGTATATTACCACAATGTATTTCCTAACAAAATCCCTGTGTCCTTTTAGGAACGGAAACCCAGTCTTAGAAAAATTAAACAGTAGCTCAAGATTTCCCTGGAAGATGGTCTGTGCTCTCTTGGTTGTGTAATCTAGGGCACAGTGAAACCACCAAACTACCATGGTTAGAAAGAAAAGTTTGCTGGCGTTCAAACTTGGGGAGGGGTGGCATTGAGAGAAACAAAATAGCGGAAGAGCAAGCAGAATTTACAAAACAGTAAGCAGGGTGTGGTCTTAGAACTGATACAGGCTATTCGGATAGACTGGGCAGTTGACCTTGGAAGGAAAATTAAGGGAGGGTCTCTAAACTGGCCTTTAGACTTCTATTTACTCAACAACAATTCTGTTTATGCAGGCAGAGTTCTTCTGTTTAGGTCATTGTCACCAACACTGCCTTTTGTGGGGCCACTTTGGACCTAACAAGTCATTTTTCTCACTGTTGTTGTTATGCTAGTTCAGCATTGTCACAACCAAAATTGACTAGATCCCCACAGTCTTGTGTCCAGGTTTTGTTTTCTGTGTTTGTGAATGATGGGAAATGGCAAGAAAAACAGCATCGAACATCAGTGCTTCTGGAAGGATGGGTTAGGTGTCCTTCTGTCCATGTTTTCCACGGTTTAAAAAAAAAAAGTGCTCATCTTTAAAGGACATCGAACCAGGGAAGTGGAGCCAGAGGAGCAGTTGCTGAGAAAACATTGGGTGCAGAGATGCAGGCTTCAGGGTTAGCAGAGTTGCTCTTTAGAGGTGAATGGGCATTGAAAAGGTAAGATTACTTCTGAAAGCCACAGATCCAAATGTTTGCCTTCTAATTGCCTTACCTAATGAAGAAATGTATAGAATGAAGTCTCTAAGCTTTGTATCCCAGGAACTGGGAGTCAGGTTGGTGGAAGGGTTGCAGCTTCTAGCTCTTTCCAGGGGCCCAGCAGCCTGAGGAAAGCTGGTATGTCTGACTTTCCTAACCTTGACCCTCACAAGGCTGCCCGGCTACACCATCACCTCTCTTTCTCATTCTTCCTCAGTCCTGACTCCTCAGCCCTGGTTTTATTTTATTTTTTTTCATAGTCTCTGAAAATGGAATGGAGAATAAAAATGTGGTCAGACCTGCCGCTAGCACCTATGCCCTCCAGTCCTAAGCTGACAAAAATGTCAAGAATCTGACAGTAAAATATGCGAAGGCAAAGCCCTCCTGAGCAGACTGAACTGCAGTCTGCTAGGTGCTTTCAAGGCACAGTATCACCATCTTTTCAAACAGAAATTGCAGTTGGTGGCTTTATCATTTCAGACATCACTTGTTAAATTGTATACTATTCATAGCATAGAAGGAACACTAAAGGGGAAGCCCTGAGGATGGAATGAGATGGGTTAGACAAGGAAACAGAAGAAACTCCCCCATCCACCCTGAGCTAACAAAGGGTCTGGATCCACCAGGCAGAGGCAACCAAAAACCCAGTCTGTTCATACTCAATCATGGGTTGAAAATGTAAATTATACTGTCTCTCCCCTTTGATTGGCCAGTGTGATATTTTAGACAACCCTAGACTTCCTTTTAACACCTTTTAGTATCTATCTACTCTATATGGTTCCAAATGGTCCTAAGTAATATTACATAGTATTCCATGTTTGTTGAGATACTGGTGGCTGTATTTTACAATCTTGTCTCATTTGACCATCCTCAATCCCACAACATAAATTTATTTATTCTATCCTCGTTTGCAGAGATCAGAAGTACAGTGTGCTTGAGCAAACAGCTTTTCTCAAAATCACAGTTTTTAGTAATGAAGCTGGCATTCAAAACTGCAATTTCTTGATCATAGGCAACACTCTCCACATAAAGTTCACCCAGGAGAGGGGTAGGAAGAGGGATGAGGAGGAAGTAGAGGGCCCCAACACTTGATTTCTTTAATAAACATATTTACAAGCTATCATTTCTAAATGGTGAACACATCTTGGGGAACATTATAAAAGGAAACTGGAGATATTCGATATTTATGTGTTAGAAATTGTATCTAAATTCTCTCTAATCTTAGCAACTTAAGATACTCATAATCATAAACACGCTTGATTTCCTTAAATTTTAACATGGTGAGAGAATAAGGCATATAGGAATGAAATGTCTTGTTTGGTTAAAATAATAACCAAAGTACTCTTGTAAAAACAGGAAACACAATCACATAAAAGAACTCCATCAAAGCAGTCTGGCTACTCCCTAGAGACATCAGATATCAAGATCAAGGATATATTTATAATTGATGGTTTTGAAGGGTAGTTGAGATGTCCCACTTAAGGCTTGGTGTATGCATAACTCAACTGCACATAAAATTGACAAGTCTTGGCCTTAGATAGATAGAGAGAGAGGGAGGGAGAGAGAGGGAACGAGAGGGAGAGAGAGAGAGAGGAGAAAAGGAAAAAATAAGAAGTGCACTATGGAAGCACACAGGGTTCAATTGCCAGGGTTCAATTGCCCTTGAAATTTGCATGCAACATTTGCCATAGGCAATTAATCTGTATGCAGGGAAAAGGGAGGCCCATGTAATGTTATGTGACTTCCTCTATGCCATCTATCAGGTGCCTAGCTGAGGCAAAAATAGATAGAGGTGTGTGGTTCCTTGCCCCCTCTGACTGAGAGACAAGGTCCCTTCTCCTGAGGGGCAATGGGATCATCTACACATCTCTCCTCTGGTCACAGCTGTAAAGAGAGTCATAAAACTGCCATTGAAATCTGAATGTCATATCACTGGAAATGGATAAAGCCCATAAGAGCTCTTGTGATAACCCCTTAATGTTCAAGAAGATCCCTGAGGGAAGGGCAGGCACAAGCTTCTGCTTCATGATGCCCACTCTGGGCCTCGGTACACCTCCAGAGACTTTCAATGTCCAAGACACTCAGCTCTCTAGACAATCCTTCATAAATGTCATTAGTGCTTTGAAAGCAGATTATGGGGAAGAAAGAATAACAGCTTTGATACAATTAACATATGAATAGAAGGATGTGCGCAGGTATGGGAAGAGGAACTGCTCATTAAAATAGAAGCTGCAGAACAAAGGCAGCCTGATTGGAGTCTGAGGTCAGATGACTGCACTTCTTTACTTCAACCGCGGTTCACCGTGTTCTCACAAGGCTGTGGCCACTTTTTCAAAACTTCTCAAAACATTATTTTCAGCAGTTCTACTTTTTCTTCCTCCCTCATTGACATCATTTCTTTTGAGTGAGACACTCAAATGTAAATGACCTGTATTTTAGGGTTAAGCTCCTTTTTTCTGAGTTGAGCAACTAACTGGTTGTAAATGGAAACATTTTCAATCAAATGTAATGAGTCAGCATGGATTGCTGCTATCAGCCCCAGAGTGGTATGGAAGCATCTAACCTGAAAGCTAGTTCAGGCAAGGTCACAGGGCTCAGCACATCCTCTGAGTCAGTGGCCTACATCTTGCTGGGTCTTTACTGCAGCCTGTCATGGCTTCCAAAGCAGGTGGCTGGGTGAGAAGAAATTTTGCATTCATGGACTATAAAACTGCTGCTTTGTGCTGTATCAGTGTACCAGCCACCTTTGCCTTTTGTCTAGGCTGACACCTGACTTTACAAGGTTGATAAAATAAAGAGCTTCACTTTTGCTACTCCGA